TATATGTATGTAAATAGTAGTGTTTATTTTTAAATGTAAAGGTATAATAACGCAGTCTATCCGACATTGTCGGTCAACGACGCAGCACACAAGTATCAAGTAAGTAAGTAGATGCATCGAGTGTAGGCCTAGATTTGTTACAGACTAAGGGGCTATATGGTCTGACTTTAATTTTTTAGAAAAGTAGCCTATGTTATAACTGAATAAGTCTAGGTGTAACCTAAAAAGTAACGTGCGTTTTAAAGGGGAAAGCTCAAATTCTGATCTTATTAAGTTAGCTTTAGCTTTACCAAGCTATACGAATTGAGTAGGCTGGGTCATGTTTTGGGCATTCCTAAAATAGCAAACGATGAACGCTTTGTTAATTAAATGAGTTTTGTAAATGTTTTATTTTACATGTAGGCCTAGACATTTAGATTTAAATGCACAGTATGCCTATTCCTAAGAATAGATGGTAGGTGTATGGGCTGCACTTTACTTTAAGTCCTACACTCATTTGAATGAAAATATCGATTATTCGATTGTTTCATTCGATATATCGATCGATATTTTCATTCGAATGAGTGTACTTACTTACTTACTTGATACTTGAAGTCTATGTCGTTAAATGATGATATCGGTATGACTGCGTCATATTTACTTAATACTAAGAAAACTATTTACACACTACTATCTACACTGTGGCAATGGCTAAAAAGTGGCTCGTTGCCTAGTTCTTCAAGGCGTAGGACCTAAAGTAAAAGTGCAGCCGGTGTATGGCTAGGAAAATACTAGTTGTAATTGGCTAGATGTATGGCTGGAGAAAATCCCTGATAGGGATAAAAAGTTTGAAAAAATTTCCCCGAATGGAGATAAATAACGTTCAAAAAATCCCACTCCCCAGAGCCATACACCTACCGAATAGATGCCAGTGGAGGTTTATAAACTAAGAATAGTGTATGCTACGCCTAGGCTATAATATAAGATAAATTACCAAAACGACATCAGTGGAACTATGAGCCTTCATGAGATCTTCCTTGGAGAATACCAAAGATGAGAAGTCTATTTCTTGAGCCATTTTCTTCATGGAATTCTCTAGAACCATGTTTTTAACAATTTTATCCTGAATTGTGCTGTCGTTACTTTCATTTCCAGTCTCAAATCCAGAATCAGCAGCGGACGCCATCGCGTAAGTAAATACTAGTAAAATTGCCTATGAAGTTTCTGATTAAGAATTTAGCGCTATTAGGTGTGAGGTGAAATACTCCGTAAATATAAATAGCTAACACTAATATTACAATGTTGACTGATTAAGATTAAACATGACAACGTTCACAGATCAAAATACAAAACGAAAACAATAAACAATATTATGATGAACCAAGAATAGCAATACGAATAAAAGAATAATACACAGTAGCCAAGTTCCAGTTGTAGCCTTCAGATTCAGTTCACATATCAGAATCAAATCAGCAGCAGACTGGGACTAGACAACGTCAGTCACTCAGTCAGTCCAGTTCAGTGCAGTCCTGTATTTTTTGTTCTCTGCGTCGACTGTGAACAGGTACAGAGCATGCAGTAAAGCTGGGTTTTCTTTTCCTAGGCGCAGAAGCGGAGAGCGGAAAAGAGATTAACATGATGTTCCGCTCCGCTTCTAAGAAAACAGTGACATTAATTAAATTACCTAAGACAAGTGGAGTCCGCTTTCCGCGTTCCTCTCTCCGCTCTCCACTTCCGTGCCTAGAAAACCCCGGCTTTAAGGAGGACTAGGCGCGGAAGTGGAGAGCGGAGAGCGGACTCCACTTGTCTTAGGTACCATCAGTAATTTAATGTTACTGTTTTCCTAGAAGCGGAGCGGAACACCATGTTAATCTCTTTCCACGTTCCTCTCTCCGCTTCCGCGCCTAGGAAACCCCAGCTTAAGTTAACTTTTATCAGATTTTTCCCCATTTTCTGTACTTCAACACACTTTGGGCTGGCTTTCTGAAAAGTGAAACCACAACCACCTACTGTAAAAATGCAAAAGATTTGATTTATTTACCTACCAACACCTCTCTAAAGAGTACCTATCTGAATTAGGGAATACAAATAGATACCATAAAAAAAACTGAGTTAAATATAGAGTAAGCCCTTTTCCAATGTTGTCAAACAGGAGTTTTCTACCTTCTTTGCTCCACACCTCCATTTTAAGTCCTGAATTTTTCTCTTGACCCCCCTGTAAAAACTCACATACTTTTTAATTAAAGCATTGTAATCACTCTGTGTTATTAATTATTTATATTGGTATTGGATAGGGGAGCGATCTGGTCGAATGATTGGTCCCAGGTTCAAATCCCTCCAATCACCAATGGAACTCAGTGTCCTAGAATGTGAAGGTGGGACTAAAAAACTATATGGATCAGATACCTAATAATTTGATTTGTTGTTTCCATCCTAAATTAATTTTTCATTATTTTGTACTTTATCTATTATTTTTCTAGGAGTGCTCACACCCCCCAGGTTGAGAACCGCTGTTGTAAACTGTGTTCTTCAGTACAAAGTTAGATTTTGAAAATTTATTATTCATAGATCGAAACAATAGTTTTGCATCCCCCATAACACCCAGGGCCGCGTTAAGGGTCAGTGGAGCCCTGAGCAAACCCAAAAGCAGTCCCCCTTTTTCCCTAGCGCGGGCAGGCGTTGGTTGTGGGCCCCCCAAAATAACACTTGAGGCCGTTTAAAAAAGTGAGCCTGATAACGCCTGTGTTTTTAAATACTTTACACAATTACACAAACGACTTACCTGCTTATACACTGGTCCTTACTACAATGCTGTAGGTTTGCGGATGACGGCCGACTTGTCACTGTCCATAAAAATAAGGAAGACCTTTAGAAATCGCAAATCCTTCATTGCTGTTATGTTAGCTCACCACAAACTTACAATCCTCTAGTAAAAGACTGTGGCGTTGATGCATGGCAACAATTGCACAGAGACAATACATCATAAATTAATTAATGCAACAACTGTTTTAGTATGGCGGATCTGTGGTGTTACCACTGATGACCTTGTATTAGAGGAGACCATGCCACTTAAATGTATCAAACTCAAATGTATGTGCCTCTTTTATATAAACAGCTAGTGTATTATTTTTTAAGTGTTATTAGACAAATTATTGTTATTTACTTTCTGTCAATTGATCTGTACACAATGTAAATAAATACCTTTCAGTTAGCCTAACTTTAATCTGATTTATTAATTGCTTTGGCAGGGTAAGAGAAAATCTATCTTGTTACTTAGATAATTTGTTAAGGTAAACAATTTACAAACTTTATGTTTTGTGACAAAATTTAGCTAAATGGTGCAGTTAAAAGATTGACAAAACAGTTAGTTCATCACATGGGCTAAAAGTATATTTTCTACTCTCAACCGAGGCTTTGTCTCAGCCGTAAAAAGTATACAAGAAGAAGAGTCACATTGAGCCATTAATATGACATAAATATTAAAAGTTTATAAACAATTTAAAATTAACTAAATCGCCAGACAGTTTTGAGTTTGTGACACGGAAGGGGTAAAGGTTATAGAAATAAACACACAACCAAAGTAAAAAAAAACACATAACTATTATTTAAAATGTTTATTTCCTGATAGTATGAGAACAAAGTTGATTCCATGAATATAAAATAAATATAATGTAACAGAACACAACTACCAGCTACATTGTTTTCCATTTCTTTTAATTGTACCTAAAAATATCACAACTATCAACTATATACAAAAACGATACCAAACAAACCAAAATAAACTAAACTCAATTACTCTATGTTATTTACATCCCTTTATAGTACAGTAAATTATATTGAAAAATTAGTGGTATTTACATATTAAATCATTAAATGATATTACAAGTACTTTCCTATCAAATTAAACTAATATTAACTTGTATAATTTCCTATTACTTGCATAATAACTTAATTTGACAATATTGGGCTACTATGAGGTTTGTAGTAAATGCTTCAATGGATAAAAGCAAAAATAAAAGCAATATTAAGGGTATAATCAAAGTTACGAGTTTATAGTTGAAAAATGAAATCAAGGATGTACACAAAAAATACTCTTTTTATGATGAAATTGATGGGAATATTTACTTTTAGGAACATTAAATTACCTGAAACTAAGTCAAAGCAAATAGAACTGACGAGGTTTTGAAATAGACCAGATTTTATTTTTGAACCGCCAGTTCTGTTTGAGTTGACTATAGTAGTTTCTTTATTTAGTTTGGACAATGCGTTAATTGGTATGTTTACGTTAATGTCTTACCACTTAATAAGTCTATTGTTCAATCCAGTGGAAATTTTTTCGGCAGACAAATACAATGAGGTTTAACTATCAGAACATCAAATTTTGAAAATGTTGGTTGCTGGTTTTGTTTTAGAAGGATGTGTTCAGGACTTAATTGCCACCAAGTCATTAATGAATGATACTTTCTAACAAAAGGTTAATATTAGAGAGTAAAGAATCGACATTTCGATGATTATCTACCAAAAGGAAATGCCACTGGAACACTGACACGATCAAAAGATTAGGTAGTCATATTCTTTCCAGATCATAGGTCAGTATTAGGATGAAATAATTACGTTAGAGTTTGTTTAGTTGGTTTTATTCTTATGAATCTAAAACATGTCGATGGGTACAAAGAAACGCCTGATTGGAAGTATGGCTCACAATTTAATAATGTCCAGTCGACTTTCACTCAAGCCAGCATATTTTTTTAGGTTGGTCTCTCTGACCAACTCAGCGACTAGGGAGTTCCTTATGAGTCACTAACCAGACCTGACCAATACAGGATTCAAACCCATGCTAAATAATACTGTCACCGACCAAAGTGACAAGGCTTACTTTAAGTCTCGAAAGGTCATATCGACCATCAATAGCAACATAGCCGAACCTTCACTTACGACTATCTATGCAAGTATAAAGAGGTGTATAAACAGGTGCTGCAATCTGTGAGCCAATGGAACTACTACACTTAGGATTTGGGTTAACCAGTATAGGAAGTTTGACCGTCGAGTCTGACCACATCCAAGTGGTTTGACAAAGAGAAAATACCGTAAATAGAGGGTTTGAATCCTCCCTCGGCCAGGTCCGTGAAACTTGCAGCGTCCACCAGTCTGTGGAAGGGCTTTGGCGGGAGAGATTCAACTAACTGCAGATGGTTTGAGTGAAAGTCGAAAGGGTGATTTTTTGAGAGCTGTACCTCTAATCTTGCATTTTGTTAATTTTTACTCATCCTTACATTGAGCAAGTCCACTGAAAACTAGTTTTATGTGAATTTTTACTTCAAAATTAAGCCAAGTGACTTAAGCGATTAAAAAAAATGGAATTGTTCAGCCAGCTTAACTGATAAATTTAGTCTAGGGGATAATACATTATAATATAGAACTTACAGAGAGAAGGTTGAAAAGAAAATCATTCACACAATCATTTGTCTCTTAAACCTTTTGTCTGAAGTCCTATAAGTGTTATTTTTGTGTCCTTTATTTTTCTTATCCATTAACCCCTGGCTGTTATCTCAGGTAAGCTAGCTAGTGCAAGGTTATAGAGCTCACATGGCAATCAAAAGTTTGTCAGTTTGATCCTGAAAAAAGTCGATAGCTTTTGGATAAAAACTGGACCCAGCTGTTGATCTCTGGGCTTTGAATGAAAAGTCCTGAACAAACTGGAAGTAACTACTAATAACACAAAACTCAAATAAAAACATTAGCCAATTTGGGTAGCTAAACACAAATTTTACCACACAATTGTCTTGAATGATAACCTAAATAAGAAAAAAGTTTGATATTAAAACCAAAATGTACTTTCACTTAAATAAGAAAATATTAAGTGATACACGTAGGCGGCATAGAAATACATTTATAATAGGAAAGTTGAGCTGATATAGATACATATTAAGATAAGTTTACATTACCTTCATACAAGATTCCCAAGCATTTTGTTGACAAGTATTATTTTCAGTTATTCGACCTAATTATATACTATGGTAGCACCCTTAAAATTTTCAAACAAATAAACCTGGAGTGGAGTATTTTATTATGATCAATTCACTTTCAAGGACAAATTATATTGCATTTTATGTAAAAAATAATCTAGGCATATTAAAGAAAATAGTTATGAGTTTAGACATATATAAAAAAAAACTTGTACACACGTTACAAATATAATAGGTAGTTGTTATAATATAGTTAATTGAGAAAGGAACAATAGAACAGTGAAACACCAAAAAATAATAACCCCTAAGATTTTAAACTCAATTTAATATACTAAAATTAACGATTTCACAGTGTTAATTACAGACTAAACAAATTGCCTTTTATTCCTAGTTCTGAAAATTTATCTAACAAATCAGAAGTCTAAAACTATCAAGAGGTAAAAACTTTGGTAACTTTCAATATACAAATCAGTGAAGAGTTAATTCCTTGCACATTTCACTACACTGTCCAATTTTAAATGTGTTTCAAATAAACATTTATATTATTATAGTTTAAAAAATATTGTCTTGTTAAAACTTACATTTGCACTAATCTTCAGTACGATAAAGATGACCATTTAGCCTATTTTAACTCAGTAATACCTTTACGTAAAACAATATGACTGAAAGAGATACTTAATATGTACATTTTCAACTGTTGTTGTTACAACATAAGTTTTATCGAAAAACTTTTAAATAGCTTCAAGCTTATTCATACTAATTGGCCGACTACTGAAACGGTACAAAATTTATTCCTATTACTTTATCTCTAATCAACGTCTCCAAGTATTATTGTAGTGTTGGTGTCTGTTGTTGTTATTTTGGTACGTACGGTGGTGGTTGTTGCTGTAGGTTCGGTAGAAATGGTGTCTATCTTTGTACCAACCGTTGTTTTTGTGGTTTTGATGCTCCTGGAAGTAATTCCGTCTTCCGTTAATCTCTCTGTCGTTTTTCTGGTAATAGTTGTTTTTCACTTTCTTCACCTGGGTGTAAAGAAATTTATTAGTTAATACTAACAATAAGTTTTAAGAGCATGTTAAAACACACAGATAACTCTTGATAGCTCGACATGTATGGGCCTGAACAAGTGTTGGATTACTTGACCCAAATAAAAGTCAATTCATGAATCCAGGTTATACTTCTCTATTACAGTAGAGTCCCGCAAACTCGGCACTCGATAACCCGGCAGTCTGGATAACTCGGCCATCACCTGGCTCAGAAAATTAGTGATTTTTTGAGTCCGAGTTAAACATGGGCTCAAGTCAAGGCATTTGCAACTCGTACCAAGGATTTGTTGTACTGTATCTGATGACTTAATACCTACTTGTAAAATAAATATAAATAAATAAGGCAGCAAAATTGTATTGTTCTTATTTTTAACCCTAGTTCCCGATAACCCGGCATTTCACAAACTCGGCACCCTTCCAGTCCACATTACGCCGAGTTTGCGGGACTCTACTGTATCAGACATACGTTGATCAGTTTAGACAATACTTTACATAAAAAAGATGAAAAAATATATTTTATTTTGAGAAAATTGTGTCTTTTGAGGAAAATAAAATAAGGTTATATTATTTTAAGCTCAGTTCATTTCATCATATTTATTTTAAAGTAGCTTACTTTAACTCCACATGATAAGACAAGATTACATTTTGCAAATAAGTTTTGTGACAAACTAACTTATTAATACTGCATTAGGTCAAATCATAGCCTCCTCTAATACAAAACCGGGCCAAGACAAAAGTGGTAACGTTGCAGACCCGGCATACTGTAACAACTGTTACACTAATAACAGAGCTTAAGCGACATGTTTATGTTTACAAGTTTGTTATTCCTGTAGTACCATGAGAGTGCGACAAGGCCACACACCAACGCCGTGGCCTTGTATTAGAGGAGGTCAAATCCATTAGGCCTATATTAAAGAGCTCGAGTTTTTCCTAAAGTTTGATTTGGAAATCTCAGGCTTGCACACCTTTACTCTAAATGAATAGTACATCTCGAGAAAACGAATTAAGTGTGGCTGACTGAGTTTTGTAGATAAATCTCTAAACACTCTAACAGACTAGAAACACAAGTAAAAAATTTGAGAACACATGACTACTAGTATTTACCTTCCCGTGATCCATCTCATCTTCATACATCTGATCGTAGGAGCGTTTACGTTGTTGTAGCCTGTCCATTTCTGCTTCTTCGTCTACTTGCGTTCTACCACCATTCCATGTTGTTACTGAAAACATATTTCCAATGAAAACTTGTGACCCAGTTTCCTATAAACAATGATTCGAACCATAAAAAAACTACTCTCTTAGGATTGAACCAGGCGCCTTCTGACTATAAGGAGAGCACTATGTAATTATGAATGAATTTAGTAGAGGTATCAATAGTTTAAGGGTATGACAACCTTAAGTAAAATAAAAATGTCATTCTCTCAGTTTAATGAAATGGAATATTTTAACTAGACTTACCATTTCTACCATAGCCCTGGTGTGAATTTTTCTTGAGGTAGTCAACTGTGGAATTGTTTCTACAGCCGTCCCAACTCTTTCCGTTAGATATTCGTCCATTTTCCACAGATCCGTTAGTAGCTTTCTTCGGTTCGTCACCGTTACTCATTGCGCTATGGCCGTTCTCCACAGGTTTTTTGTGATCTTTACCATTGATGCCATTATGTGATTCTTCCACTTTCAGCTGACTAGATTCTCCGTTTTTTTCTGCGGATCTGAACAAAACAGTTGTAAAATTATAAGTGAATGTAAACAAAATGGTCGACAATCCTTTTTATAGCAATCCAGGGGACCCACTGGCGACTCTCGCGGACGTCTGCTGAAGGAAGAACAGATTAAAAACCTTTAAGTAAATTTCCAATTTCTTAAAACATGGTTGAGATTAGCCTAGTTCAAAACATTCAACAATGCCTGTGAGATAATGTTATTATTATTCAATCATTCAAGGCATGCAAATTGGAAAAAGTTTTAAATGGGAGCTGGAGCAATGTATTAAAAAAAGAGTTGACCGTAATTATATATTGATGTCTAGATAGAATTATTATTATGATTGGGTAAATCACACCATGTAAAGAAACTAGTGGAAGTACCATAGTTATTGGTTGTGAATAGTTAGGTATACACTTGTCTCCAGTCTCATAATTAATATGATAAAATGTAAATAATTCCTCAAGTATTTTAGCAATCTTGTGTTTGTTTTCCAGTTTTCTTCTTCTAAGGTAACATGTTGTGATATGTCTTTAATAGTACCTATTTCAGGAAAGTAACTTAACTTAGTGTGTGTTTGTACGATACTAGTTATTAGGTTAGCAATTTATGTTTAAAAATTCATATCAATGTCAGCATTTATCAAATTGTAAAAATGAAAATGTTTACTTTGATCCACAAGACCTTGTAAAGTCGCAAATGCAACCAAAATCAATGCACCATTTGCTCCAACATATTTTTCTTGTTAAATATTCTAAATAAAGCAATATGTACAATCTGTGTGGCGAAGAATGTTTTTGTACATTATTTAAACACTGACTATGATAGGTCATGATAATTAAAGGTAAGAACAATTAGGTTTTCCCCGACTAGTTGTTGTTTTACTTACTGCCTCAGATATCTTACATCTTATTGCCCTACATCCTTACATTTTTAACTTCTTAAATACTTAACGAGAAAGACACATTGAAGCTTAGAAGGCCTAATCAGTTTGGAAAAATATACAAGAAACAAAATATCTGTTGCCTCGTGTAGGCAACAGCTTAAATGAGAAAGTGTTTTTCTTTGGTTTCAGCTGTTAACTTGGGAAAATAAAAGACCCTTTCTCAAATAGGTACCATAACCTCTAACCCTAAAAACTTATAATGATCCTCTCGCTTTCCCAGAAATACAGTTGCATAATACTTTTATAGACGTTGAATACCTTGTTGCCACGTGTAATTCCAGGGATTATGTTGGCAAAAAAAGAAATAGTATGATTGTTAAGCAGTCTGGGGAGCAGCACCTCAAAATGAAGGAGTTAAATAAGTAGGCTAAGTTAAAAAACTTCAGGAATAGAAATTCAAAAAAACTGTAAAAAAATAAAAAATATAAACTTGGTGTAGAACCTAATGTGGCAATAAACTATTAAAAACAAATTAAAAATATTTTTGGTTCAGAGTGGGGTCATCTTAAAAAAAATGGGTTTTCTAAATCTTTTTTATAAGGCCAAGAGTTTTTATGGCGAAGGGTGAGAACAACTGAACCCGTGTGCCACAGAAGATGTGCAGAGAAGCTTGACCTTGACCAGGATGAGGCTTAGGTCTTAAAATAACTAAATGCCTGAGATTGTGCCATGAGGGCTTTAGGTCACATTTTGACCTGACCTGAAGAAATGCACCAAACAATCCCAGGTCTGTGCCCAACAGAATAGAGGGTTCTGTAGTCTCACACTACATCAGGCTGGCCACCTGTGTGCGTAACGGCATTTTCCCTACTCTTCCTCAAAAAGGTTTTATTCATTAAACGGTTGGCATATCATGGATAAGTGTGTATTGCCAAACCCCAAAAATAGAAATAATTTTATGTAGTTCACTAGTCAAAAGTCATGATATCAATTGTGTTTTGGCCTATATATAATTTTATCAAGTTAAATTTCAGTTTTAATGTCATTAAAGTGAAATTTTATTGCTGCATCTAAAATAAAGTTTAAAACTCATCTGAGGACAAATGTTTTAGATGAGCAAGGAACATCAGTCGGTTGGCCTACACGTTTCCCATTAATGGTTGTAATGTTAGGATCAGTTTCTCATCTTACGTTATATTCTTGTTTTATATTACTACCTACTAGTAGACTTTCTTCAATAAGCAATACATGCTACTTTTTCATATTTAAATAAAAACACTCTTGATGTAAAAAAACTTAAAACAACAGCAACCAACAAAGAGAAAGCGTTAGTGACATGAATTAATAGTTTTACTGACAAATATTATTTTAAAATTTGATCTAGCATTAGAGTATTTTAATTTATGTGAAAGTATTATTTCAACAACAAATTTTACACAAGTGCCCATGTTAAAACACACAACTTTCCAGTCACCAAATGAACATATTTGCTTACTTGGCAGCAGCTGTGTCAACAGAGATGACGGCCCAGTTTTGCGGAGGGTTGTACAACGAGTTTGCCACGCTCCTTTTCTCTACCACTTCCGTCACGTGCCAACCGTTCACCACCACTTCACTTTTACACTCATCACTTTTACGAGTACTAGTTTTGTTCGGCGACGCGCCGATCGAACAGTTACTAAATTTCACAAAACTTGAACTTTCTTTCGCAAATCCGTTTTTTATCGGCGACGAGGTAGGCAGGGTGACGGCGGCTTTTTTGGAAGTGGCCGGTTCAGACTCACTGTCGCTCGACTCTGTTGAGTAGGGGACGAGACTCTTGTGTGACGAGACACTGGTCCTACAACAGAGAACTATGTCAGCGTCTCCCTACTCTGTCGCAGCTCTGTCAGTGGACAGTCTACCATGCTTCACATCCGTACTGCATTGCAATCATTAAGGAACTGGTTTCTAAAAGTTTTGACTTGTTAAAGTGAAATATGTGATTTCAATCTGACTCCAACCTGAAACTAGCCTTACCTGAAGACTTAATGAATCAAAGAGCTAAATGTTTGATTCACCAAAATTCTAAGACATAAATTTTCAATATACCTGCTGCAAAGTAATGTGTGATTCCCATCAAAGCACAGTGAAATATTTCCTTTTAGTACATAAAAGTTTAGAAGTCCTCTTGATTGAAGATTTAACTCGATATAAAAATGTAAAATTTTGTACTATTTGCGGATTTTGATATACTAGTCTATATTGCCAAAACCCGTTACACTGACCTTGGATTTGGCAGGCTCTTCAATTCCCGTGAGGAGCCAGTAAACATCGGGACTTCTACAGTTTACACCTGTACATTTGAACTTCATTATTAAAACTCCAAAAACTTTCAAATGTACTTTTAAAAAGTTATATGTATCAAAAGGAAATCTTATCGGCTATCCCATCGCAGCTCGAGGCTTCAAAAGTTTCATCCATCGTCAGAATACAATTACAACGAACGTTAATTCAATTCCCGAGACTTTTGCCAGCACATTCCGTTGACGATGGGATAGCCTCGGTATAGGATTATCTCCAGAGTAAATTGAAGGCAAAGATGAACCTACTTTGCGTTAGAAGAGTTTGCCGTTTTTAGAGGAGAGCCGAGCATAGACTTGAGAGGCGTGGTGGGCTGGGAGTGTGAATGGTTGCTGGTTCCGTTGGAGATGGGAGATATCGGACGTCGCATACCGTTGCTGCAACCAACCACCGTGCTTGTGTTCTGGCTAGGCTTGGTCACCGTGCAAGTTCCGTTAGGTGGCGAAACTTTGCTGGCTGCACCTACCGAACATCTCAACTATTAAAATTACAGTGAATTTTGTAATTTGTACCTAATGAACTTTACTAATTGACAATATAATAAACTGTCAGTTTCATCATTTGGGTCTGAAGTGACTCTTTTAGCCAAAAGCTCAAATTTACTAACAGAAGGTTGAAAAGACTCAGCCTAACTGGTGAACTATAAGAAGTCTGAATTTTTTTTAAATTAATTTATTGTGCTGCACAACTGTGATACCTCTAGTGAGGTTAATCATTCAGCCAAATGTTTGTTTATGCTATGCTTGCAGTTTACAATTGTTTGTGTTTACTTTGAGTAATGACTTTCCCTTAAGGCTTTTGGACAAAATCCAAGACACAATTTAATCGTCAACAGGTTAATTATAGAAATACAACCCTGAATGTTTTGAAGGCATACTCACTGTTTAGGGAGGGGTTAGGTGAGGTGAGCTCATACATGATTATGTACGTGTTGTTGCCACTGACGGAATGAGTGGATACAAGTCTGACCTGTAAACATTTAACAATTAATTCAACAACCGAACAACCAATGTATGATACATTTGATACTACCCTTGCAGGAAAAACTGAAAATATGTGCAACTCGAAAATACAAAGCAATGTCAAGTTGAAGCGATATCATACTGAAATAGAAGTTCAAGTCTGAAGTTATAATTAACATTAACGGTTCTGAAAAAGAATCTAGTTTACTAGGATGTGAAGGTAGAAAAAATATTGATGTTCTATAAATATACATATGTTAGAGACAGCATGTCCAGTTGTTAAAAAGGTGAATGGCAACTAATTTTAAATCTTGAACCTAACATGACTATAATAATATTTTTGCCCCAATGGACAATGTCATGTATTTCAAGGCGGGAACCTACCAAACTGTCGTCAAACAGATAGAACTGTCCCGAGGAGGCGAGGCCGACGGCTGTGTAGTGTCCGCAGTTAGTAGATGGTCCGATGTGATTCACCAGTGACACGAGACGATAGTTGAGTCTGACGCCGGGCTGACTCTGTTGGTGAACCCAGAACCTGGTCAGGTCTAGGCTGGTCTGAAGCTGTATGTGCTTGCTGTTCTTGCCTCCGGTGATGCCAAACCTGTACAACAATACCACTTGTAAAACGGTCTCCGTAATGAAACATTAACACAATAAAAGTCATTCATCTAAAACCTCCACTGGGGGATAGGATTTAAGTAACAGTGGCAATCGGGAGCAAACTAACTTACAATAGAAGATAGCTAATCCCAAATGGATTAGCGGTACTGGATTATTGAAAATGTGGGATTAATGAACGTGTAACGATTATTGTGAGAATAGCGAATATAATAGTGTCAAAAGAAATTGGTCGGTGGGTCTTTATTCCTTTTTTTCTATTTTTTTAGAAATATAAAGATGGTAAAACAGAAAAACAATAAAACGACTTCGATCTTTTTTCTTTGGTACCATACAGTTAGCAACAATAAAAATTACTACATTTTATAATTTAAATTGATACCTCTCTTTGATCTACTCTCAGAATCATTATACCTCTAGGACAAAAAAATCGATAGGCCTATTACACGATCATTGCAGTCCATTTCATTACAATGCATTTATGAGCCTTCGGGATCTAACTTTATCAGGATCTTTGATAATCTCCAATCCAAGGCATACCCTATACCAGTCCTCACCTTTTGAGCTGTATACAGAGGACATTAGGTGGTTTTTCAACAGTGAACTTCTTGGTCGCAGCAACTCGACGGTGGCATTTTTCACACTTGTACGCCTCGTCGCCGTCGCCAAGACGTTCACAAGTGAAATACGACTCTAACGCCTGGTCGAGCGTGGTGGCTTGCCGAATGTCCAGTAGTAAGTCTTGGAAATGCTGGAACGTCAGCGAGATGTTTCGGCACTCCAAACATCTCACTAGACAAACCGTAGCAAAATGTCACTGACTGTATTTTAACACGCTATTACAATCTGACACAGCTCACTTATCAAATGTATAAGCGTAATGGAAACACAAATTGAATTAAGCTTAGCTAACAAAGGAAATACAATTGACTTGATAAATGGGCACTTTTGGGACGGAAGGTTTTTGTTTTACTAGAAATGCTGGATTTCATTGAAAAATAATTTGAAAAGAAATGAAAAAATTAAATCCAAACCTATAAGCAAATTAAGTAAATCCTTTGACTATTTGAAGTAAGAAAAATTGCAGTTCAAATTGATCAGTTTAGGTATTGACAATAATGTTTATTGAACAAAAACACAATTCGGATTTAATAACAACTGTCAAATGCATCCATCTGTAGGCCTTTATTGGACGACCGAATAACGTTTAACTGTAAAACCTATAGTCTTAATTCCAATAGATTCAGATTGCATAGGTTTAATTTCTAAATGACTTTGTACTCCGGTTCTTTGCACTTACGATACGCTAAACTATATGTAGGCCTAGTTTCTCCGTTACAACCCCAAAAAGCTAGAATTGGCTGAATGTGTCACATTGTCAAATGTCAACTCTAGGCCTATTTAAAATGTCCGTCGTTTAATTGACAGTTATATGACGGACAACAATGACTGGTTGATTTATACTATGCTTGTTAATTTATACAAACAACTAATAAACTAAACAAGCTACAAACAAATTGAATTAGAGGGCTCTTAATCCATGTTAACACAAATTCATGTCTTACCTTCTGTTCTGAGGTAGCCTCCGAATATTTGACTCAGGGGAGTTGTCTCCTTGCTGTAGCTGTCAAGACTGAAAACACAATAACTTGATGAGTTTACTATTCACGGCTAATTTTCAAATAAAAACAATGCAAAATTTGTGTTCATTACTTTTACTTTATACCGTAGGGTAGTTACCTGGGTAAGTAGCATAGTAAAATAGAAATGTAGATATTTCAATTTTTGTAATAAGTTTGAAGCCCTAGTGGCATAGTTAAAAAGCCATGCCCGTATTAATGTGCTAAACTGTTTCAGGCTAGTCCTAGGAAATGAGGGGGTTTTTAGACAGTAGTCCAGGGACATTGCGCCCGCGGGAGTCCGGCACTTTAAGGACGAAATTGTCAGGATCATTAAAGCATGACCTAAAGCTGAAAGGTCCAGTTTTGAACTATTAAACAAAGTTTAAAAAAACAAATCATGAACACCACACCATCAAGATACGATAAAGGGTAGGTATACGGTATACTTACTTGTTAGCCTGCATTATGCGAAGGTAGGAACGGTCCATGCTCTCAATGAGATACCTCATGAACTCGTGAGCATCTTCTTGATGACCATGCATAAGCCTCTTGCAAATCACTTGACAAGAACACAACACATCAGACATGCGATATATCACATCAGCTAACTTTCAAACTTCAAAACCTTATTTTTTAACACGACCGGTCGCACTATATCTCTCAGATACCGTACATGTTTTCTTAAAATTGTTGTTGATTACTTTAGACATATATTTACCCCCTTAATTTTTAATTTACTTTACATAACAACTCTTTACACATATATTTTAACACAGTCAAAGCATTTCTCAATTAGAAAAAACAAATTGTTCAACCATACACATTCCTGTATAGTGTATCCATTAATACAGTACGACCATGCCCGTCACAATGTAACATTGAATTCAACGTTTTCTTTGCTCAATTAATCAGTTTCATTTATTTCTAGGCCTATATTAAATGGAATTATTTAATTTTTGTATGATATAACAGAAATATAACAGAGACATATCACATAAAAACTAGACTGGTCCCGTTTTTATTTTAAGATACACCAAAAATTAAAAACAGGACCAGTTGAACTGTATCTATCAGATACAACGGAGCAAAACAAGGCATGTGTGCACGGGACGACACTAACAGCGACACTGAGGAGTGTGGGGAGTGTTTTGTGGTGGGAATTTTTCATGTTGGGGTATCTAATAGATTAGGTGCGACCAACGGAGGGTTAAAAAGTACTTTGCCATAACATAATCTGCTGTTACTGTTACTTCTGGTTAGGTGGACCAGAAGTAACAGAATTCTGATGGAAGAGGCAGTCATATCATACAAACACATAAATATAGATTTGTAAGAACTATTTAAAGATTGTAGCCTACATGTTTTAGTTTGATTTTTTACACCGATACAGTAGATTACCACTTGTTAGGTCTGTTTGGTTCTCCAAAACAAGAGAGGATGGCATTACATTGTTTGTACTTTGGTAAGTTAACTTACTATTGAGTAAAAATGTGGAGTTCAGGCAATTAAACTCACTAAAGTCTTCACTACAGTTTGAAAACTTTGATTGGTAGGCCTAGGTTTACTACAACTCTTGACGACTATATCATAAAACTGTTAAAACTTGCTGTTACTTTAACTACTTTTAAAGTAGGATAAAAAATAGCTATATGGTAAGAAAGTTTAACCCTTTGTAGACACCCTGAACAATTTAAAAATAGTTCAAAATCACCCCAAGACAACAGATGTCTTAAATAGAAAAAAAATCATAGCAAGTATAAAATAAGTGATACTTACATTTTAGTTTATTATAAACTAAATGTGGCCTGATGGAGTTTGAAGCACTGTTTTCCAAGGATGATTTCAGTGTTTTCAGCATTGCGCAAATTAAACAGTCAGTGTGTGTTAAGCCATCTGGAACAGGTAATTTTTTTTGTAAAAATCCCATTTAACAAAGTATATTCGATCAATTATTCCGAGTTAATCAAAGGTCTTGGAAGTAAATTAGCTTAACTAAGTGTAAAATCTTAGTTCTAATCTTAGTTCTGTGAGATAAAATGACTGAGAACAAGAATCTACCATGTGATTGGTATTGGTAGCCTAGATAGAGCCTAATTCATTTAAAACTGCAATTAATAAGTTTTTTTTACGTAAGTATCTTGAATTATGACAAATGGCTGGTGAATGGAGTGATATGACTTGTGCTATGTTAACCTACCTAGGCTACTATATTTTCAGCTCTATCTTTGGTAATGACCATAAATTATAAAGAAACTAAATTCTCACTTTAAAGCAATTAGGCTATACCGTTACTTTAAAAAATATGTCAAGTACATCTAACAATAATAAAAAAAATCCAAATAAACTACCAAATACCTAGGCCAACGTCAATATAAGTTACTTACTCAGGGCTTCACATTTGTCTTTGTGGGCCTTATCATTTAGCAACCAGTTCACAAACGCTGGAACATGGAAGAGTGCCTAAAACACAAAATAATGCTTCATTTTAATTGTCAGTCGATGGCAATCAGATAAAATCAGACCTGCCAGCCAATCCAGTTGTAAAATTTGAGGTAATTGCCTATTTCAATTTTAACAAATAGTACTAAAGGATGTTTTTACAATCAAGTAGATCATGTGTGTGTAAGAATATCGCAAGTTCCGACAGCCTATTTTATACTGCAACAATAAATAATTACGATTCAGATTCAAGGCTAATTAAGTAAGTTATAGCTTAATTAGATCCCAAGAGTATATTTTAATAAAAGGAAGATTTTATGAAAATCCCTATCTCCATGCACATCACATTTGAGTTATCGGGACAGAGCAGAAGGCTTGACCAGAAAACAATTAGGCCTAGATCAAGCAGCTAAAAAAAGAATTCTATACTGAAGCATAGTGGACCATTTGTGGGATTAAGTTAATTAAGAGTTTTCAGTGGAATGGTAGCCTAGACTAATAAAAGGGAGGTTACTGTATGGATGAAATCAAAATTTACCTGAAGTGTAGAATTTAAATAACACGTGTTTCCTAAATTCTCCATTCCGGCACCAACAGGAACTGTCTTTGTTTGCCATCCTAGCTGAATCTTTTCCGGATCGAACAGCACTCTTTTAGGTGACGGTAAAACTGCCTTGTTGACTCCCGCTGGACTTGAAGGCTTAACTATACTACTCGAAGCTTTAGAAACTGACGATGATTGCAGAGGTTTAGAGTCACTCAGAGCTGGCTTAGGTAAACCGTTTTTCAACTTTACTTCACCATTTTCAGAGTTCACGTTGGGTTTTAAAACTATATATTTAGATTTCAAATCTTCTAGATTACTGTTAAAAGTGCTGGTTTGCTCATATTTTATTTCAGTCAGTAACACTCGCTTTGTCGATCCTATTAGCTTGGTATCCAAGGTATCACTGTCTGACGAGAGCTTGGAACTGGCAGCGAGTGAATGTGAGAGCGCTGCGCTGATAGGATCTCCTGTTGAGGCAGGCATGATTGCAGATAGTCACACCTGTAAATGTCAACAATTGACTTAGTAACATTTTGTTAAGTTAATGAAAAAGTTAGCCTACTTACACTAGCCGGGATCAAGTGAGGAACCTTTTCCATGGCTATCTGTGGCTATTACTTTAAAAAGTTTTAAATCCCGAAGCACATAGAAAAATGAATAGGTGAGTTTACTGTAGACTGCTAGGAAATTGCTAAATAAGTGGAGAAGGGCGTTTTTCAAAACTGAGTTAAGTTAAGTCTTGAAAGTTAAATAAAGCTTAGGCCTACCAAGTTCAAACGGCATGGAATAAAAATTAGTAGGCTAAGGCTAGGTAAGTAAGTTATTTTGGGGAAAAACTAACTTGACCTATTTAGCCTACGACAAAAGGCTTAACTTAAATTACTTGTGTCCGTCAAGTGATCCTAGGTTGTATAAGGTAGTTGGTTTGACTACAGCTGTTTCGTGTTTACAAACACATCTTCAGGTCAAATGTTGCATTGATTTATTCCATAGAATGGTAAGTGATGAGGTTATAAAAGTTCACAAATAACACTTAGGCCTACACATAACATTAAACATTAATTGGCCAAAACACAAATAGGCCTAGGTCTACATAAAAAACGGTACATCGGACACGTGCAGCTACGGTAGAAGGAACCATAAGTAGTCATGACCTAAGTACCTTCTACCGGCGCCGGACGTGTTTCTGATGTCTTGTTTTTTTATGTATTTGTGTTATTGGCCTTATAAATGTTTAATGTTTCCTTAAAAGTGTTATTTGTGAACTTTAACCTCATGACGACCATTCCATGGTATAAATAATGCAACATTTGACCTGAAGATATGTTTATAAGCAGCTGTAAGCTAGTCAACCAACAACAATCTAAGATCACTACAGGTAATTTAAGTTAAACCTTTGGCTGCACTTTACTTGACGTCCTACACTCATTCGATTGGTTTTTCGATTCGATATTTTCATTTGATATATCGTTTGGTTAGTTAGGTTAGGTTAACCTTACCTAACTAAGTTAAAACCAAACGATATATTGAATGAAGCAATCGATTATTCGATATAGTTATCGATCGATATTTTCATTCGAATGAGTGTAGGACGTCAAGTAAAGTGCAGCCAAACCTTTTGTTGTAAAAATCAGTGATCCAAGAGGCTACTTATACCATAAAAATTACCTACTTAACAAATCTGAGTTAAACTTAAATATCAAGATGCCAACCTGCGACATAAACACTTCTCTGTTTCGGTGTGTAACTAAGTTAAAAACTAGCTTGAAGAGATTTTGTACTAAAGATAGATAGCCTAAGACTCAAATAGGCCTAGCCTATGAGAGTGGCCTACTTAACATGGGCCAGAGCCTAGACTATTTTTGACAGAATAAATAAATAATGGTTTCTTATTTGTATCCGGCCTATGAATTAGCCAAGCTAACACCTCCATCAATAAGATAATGTTTTAAACTACGGTTCAACTAAGTTATTGCCTATGCCTAAATCAAACCAGTGTTTACAAACTAACTTAAGTTACTAGGGCCTACCAAAGTTCAATACTAAGGCCTAATTGTCACTTATTTGTTTTGTTTTTAAACTGCAATTTTGTAAACAAAAAGATTTTTATGAGACAATCAAATGGGGTTTGCATAAATAGTTATGTGTCTCACTTCAAACTTAATTAAACAGAACGCAACCTTGGAGTTATGGACAAAATTAGGACAGTTGCCATTTAGACCCTAATATTGGTCACATGGCTTGATATTCTTAAATCCTTATAATTTAAACTTTGAAGACACACAATTAACACTAATATATTGTAAAATTAAAATAAATGTATTTATTGGGTATTTTGTAGAACAACTTTACGTCATAGATGGTGACTTGAAAATGATCTGCCTTTCTGGTTGCGGCAACAAGGAAACTGAATGCCGTGCCGAAGCCGACTCCAACGTTGCCACGAAACCAACTTATATCTACATTGAACACTCTTGTAATAAGCTAATATTACCTTTAAAACAGCAACACAACGCTGGATGAAGTTAAATAGAGAGAACATTTCACTTAACACACCACGATATTCAGTTATTCTACAGAAAACATCACCGGCGAAAAAGGAAAAGTGCGGGCGGACGTACTGTTCTGCAACTTACTAACGTAGTACTAGTACTGTAGTAGTAATTTAGTGGGGGAGAAAAAAGGAGAAATCGAACCGTCTGCCTTCCGTGTTTTCATTCTGCCTTTGGATTATTTATTTAGCAAGGTTACATTTGAAAGACTATATAAAAAGTTGCGTGAATGTATAAATGTACATCAAAGCCATTGCTTATATATATCTCAAGGTGTTGTTTATATAACCTAACAAACGGGCAGAACTAATTTTGCAACTGTCTTCCTCTGTCTGATCCATAAAGCCCTGTTTACACTAGGCCAGTAGCATGGCCACCTTTAACTCCAGCACGGCCTGGTAGAATTGTCATGGAATTGTCAACGTTGCAAGAGTAGTGCTGTTTAGAGCCTGTCGTCCCTTTAGATAACATGGCAAACAGGTGACACCTACGGAGTTAAAGGTGGCAGACGGCCACCTTTAACTCCGTAGGTGTCACCTGTTTGCCATGTTATCTAAAGGGACGACAGGCTCTAAACAGCACTACTCTTGCAACGTTGACAATTCCATGACAATTCTACCAGGCCGTGCTGGAGTTAAAGGTGGCCATGCTACTGGCCTAGTGTAAACAGGGCTTTATGGATCAGACAGAGGAAGACAGTTGCAAAATTGTGTACCTGCTCATTTAATCACGTATTATTAGTTTAAATTTAAATTTATGATTATAAATTTATGAAAAGACTGAAACCAAAACATATTGTGTTCTAAACCAAAACGATATATAAACATCTAGGGCCTTTGCTGAGCAGTGTGTGACTTTTCGTATATTTTTATCAAAAGATTCTACTGAATGGGCCACCGGCCACCTTTTAATGCAAGAACAGGCAAGAACCCACCTCAGTGTTTCATTTCACCAGGCTCTGTTTTTAACAGCCGTTCCTGTATGGGGCTGTGAAACACAGAGGACGCTATTTTTGTTCAGACTCCAGAGGAGGTGATCCGTATTGTGTTCTCCTTTCCAAAGCGTCACTCCTGTAAAGAAATATTCAGATAATTCAGTATCCTAACTTTTCCATCCATCAATATTCTGGAAACGTCGTCATTCGCTAAGAAAAACATATATTTTTCACCACTCCAGTCAACCACAGATATTCTTTCCGGAACACTTAAACCTTTGCCATTTCCCGTCATTCAACTTCATTTTTCCACAAGCATTTTCAAAGCTGTGAAGACAGGATGTGGGCAAGGTCACACTAAAAAAACTTTTTTTAGGGTGGCCTTGATGTGGGTAAATTTAGAAGTGAGCTATAGTATAGTCCATCCTGATAGATATATGGCTGTATAGCATCCGTGAAAACTGGTAGACTTTACTTGTAAACACTAGTTAAATTAACTTGTATCGGTAGTTAATGCTTGTAAATACTTTAGTTATTTTCACTGTAAGATAAACAAGATGTTTAATCAATTAAGTATTAATTTAACTTAGCTAATGCATGTATATGTTGATCTGGCCTAATACATTACTTATTGACTTATTATATTGACTTTTTAGTTCAGGAACAAGAAAGGAGCTGACTTTTATTCTAGCTTTTGGCCATTTATTATTTTATACTGATTCAAAATATATACTGTTTAACTCTTTTAACAATACGAATTACGAACTGTATCTAGTTTCATATTACTGTATTTTATTATTTATTTTAGAAGACTGAAATAAGAAAATTTAGTCTGATTTATAATATACTACCGTATATATTTTAGTAATCATACAATGTAATGTAATGTATTGACAAGGGTCTCATTTCAGATTAATTTGTAATCATATCGCATCACATTATATAATGTTAAGTAACGTAGATTTAATGACAGCATAACTTAATAGGTTTGTATATGCTTTTCAATACCATTTACAAATTATTTAGCAGTTCATGCATTTATTGTTATACTTGTAACACTACTGTGTTATACTGTGGTACCATCAGCCGGCTGCAGTTTCTTAACTGTCCCGCAGAACAACCGAATGAATACATCGAATCTTCGATATATCGATTATTTCATTTGAACAATCAAGTTTGGTCGGTTAGTTTAACCTAATCTAACTAACCGAACGAAATAATCGATATATCGAACAATCTATATATGAAGCAAAGTACTGTCTGCAAGATGTTGTTCTACTCAAACCAAAGATTACTCTGACTGCCTTCTTCTGGAGTCGAAGAGGAAAGACGTTTCCCACACTCTCATCCCCACACCAGCACTGCGTATATCAGGTGTGGAAAAATTACTCTGTACTATGCTGTAATTAGTACATCACATTTTGCAAACTTAGAAAGTGTACGGAGGAGAAAGATTCGTACAGAAATCCTTCTACACACAATGTCAATATGGACATGAGAACGCAGGTTTCTGTCGAGCACCAATCCCAAGAACTTGACATGATCAGTTGCCTCGAGCTCAACAACATTCAAAAGAAAATTGTTACTGTTTTTTTCAGCTGAACTTATTGCAAATTTACAAATTCAGTTAATTTTGCATTTAGACTCAAGGAGGTGTTCTCGAACCACTGCATCATGGAGCTTGCTTGCAGAAAGGCTTTTATTTCGAGTTCATCGAAATTTTGACCAGTAACTGAGAGTGACGTATCATCAGGATCATCAGCAAACAAGCAAATGTTTCCGGAATTTACAACTGATGGAAGACAACAACTGATTTACAATGAAAAGAAAAAGGACCAGACCGATGACTGACCCCTGAGGCACGCCAACGCATTGGAATTTGTTGTTTGAAAATGTTAATTTAATTTCTCAATGGAAATAAAGGATATTGGTAGTGTTATATTGTCCTACACCAAATGGTGCCCGTGATGCAATTATAATACTTGAATCGTATCATTGACTTTATATCTACACGAGTGAGATATTCGTGTAGATATAAAGTCAATGATCTTATTCATCAAATAGTGTAAGTATCGAAGTTTATGCATGTTTTGTATAAAACCAAATAATGTATGGAAAGTAAAATGGATTATTTGATTCAGGCAGTAAATTCTGAATAATTACGAGTAAATATTTCACAACCAAATATTTTTACATCTTAGCAAAATCACATACACTGAGCTACTTGAAAAAAAGTATTGAGATCATGTTATAAATGCTATTTAGCACAAATTTAATCATAGATAGATCTCAAAACTGTGTTTGTACCACAGATTTGAATCTTATCAAAACATAAATTAATGTAGCTAACGGTGGCCGTGAGCTAAGACACTGTCCTGATTGACTTTCGAGCTACTCATAGTCCTAATGATTATGTAATAATTACGTGATAATTATAAGATTCACTCGATGAGAAAACAGTCCATCAATGCCTAACGTTTACATAGAAAGGTTCAATATTCTATAAAACACGAAGGTAAAACTTTCTATTTCAATTTAACAACACACTGATTCCATGAACAACACTCTAAAGAGTTCAAAGGCGACGATTTTTCCGATAAATTAATTTCCCTGTGAGCTTTGACACCGGCCCCTAGCAACTTGGAACAACAAAGGACCTGGAGGTGGGGAAGGGTTGGGAGGGAAACCAGGTTTCCCTGCGTTGGCAACACTGCTAGGACCGGCCAATCATAACAAATCCATCACATGGCTTTGTAGAGACACTATTAAATTGCATGTTTATTAGTTTATCTTCGAAAATGTGTTTGTAAATTTGACTAGTTGAAAAAATATGTTGAAATCAGTAATCTCATAAAATAGAGAGTTGTTCAATTTACAAGCGTAGCCTAATTGTCAGTAACACATTCACATTGGCTGCATATTAATTTTTAGTTTGATAAGATTTTGAAATTTCATGGATATTTTAAAGAGCTGTTATTTTATCCACTCATTTATACTTGAAATCATTGACACTCGCAGGTTAAAAACCGTCAGAAGAAATGAAAACCCCGTAAATTTTATCAGGGGATAGGGAAGATATCACTTATTGCAAAGAATTTTAATGTATAACATATAAAAACATATTTTTGGATGCCTAAAGGCTGGAATTTTCTCGGAAAACATTGATAATTTAATTCAACGTTCAAAACTGTACAAAATATAATTTTATCCCCCTCCAGTAAGAAATAAAATTATAGTTAATCACTCTGACAAAAGTGCCTTTGCGATCCTAGCTCATTTTCCCGTTGAACTTGAGGAACATTAGACCCAAGTAACGAAGGTTTACATGTATTGTTACCAAGCTAAAAATAGTTCTTTTTAACCCTGGGCCCGGGGAAAAATCGGTTGGAATTGAGGTAGTCAGATGTACATATTTCTAAGACAGGAAAAAAATAGTTCTGAAAAAAAAATAACGTCGTTATCACAATTTATTTTATTGCATATTTTGCTACGATTAACGTCCCTTATAGCTATTACTTATCGAGAAACCCCATAAATTTCAACTTTTTATTGCAATGGCGGAGGAATATTCACTAGTGTAGTCTATGTTTGTGTTTACAGCTGTACTATTTTCGGAAATAAAGTACTGTATGTATATTTTGATTGGATTTGAAAGCCACTTGGTCTCTAACATCCTTCAAATTAATGATGACAGAAGTTCGTTCAAAGCCAGTTAGAAGTCATTCCGCAGGTTAACTCATAACACCTAACAAATCTCACACAAGTTTAGTTTGTCAATTAGTTAACTTAAAGAATCGTGCAGTACGGGGAGAAGTATTGTTCATCACCCTAAAAATGTATTTTTAACCGTCATATTTTTTCTTATCTTAAAACTTGCGTTCGTATCGTATAGTCACTTTCAACCCAAGTGACGATGTTCTCCATTGTTTCCATTATGTTTGCATACCATAATTATTTTTATCAATCGTTGTTTTATTTAAGAACTTTTGTTTCTTGTTTTGACCGACCACTTTACAGTTCTCTATGTGGATTTTCTTTTGTGATTTTCCAGCTTTTGCTAAATTCGGGTACTAATCTTTTCTTGTGTCCCATGGGAGTCCAGCTAACTTTTCCCTAAAGGGGATTGAGGGTACGGATTACGGAATAACGCACCATAAAAAGTAGGACTCAGGGCCCTCCTCCGGAAAATATTTTAAATCAAGTACAAAATGGTTGATTTTACAAAATTTTGAATTAAATTTGCTTTATATAATGTGTAAGTTCTTAACGTTTGTTTCCATAATTTTTTAAGTTGTAACAGTTTTTTAACGTAGGGTAAACTCCTTGCCCATATTGGTGGACGCCCATGCTCATAGTGTGTGCAAATGGTTTTAGGTTCCCAAGCTGAAGACGGGGTCAGATTTCATATTTCGAAACGTCGTATGTTTTTCATTACCGTACTAATCGGTAAAATTAAATAATCCTTCTAATAGAATAACAAGAAGAAGCAATAAAACCCCAATCAAGAGAATCAGCTATTAAAAAAATGGTGCTCAAGTTTTCGTTCCGTTTGGTAATGCTAAATAATGGGAACTTATCAATGGCAAAGTGGGTTTGTACAAAATTACCGGGTGGTTTGGGATTTTATGGGGAATTCCGGGAAATTTAGTGTTGTGGTAACACTGGTGCCGGGTGCAGTGAGTCAGATAGCCAGTCAGTGCTTGCCCGTGATCGAGTCATGTGAGGGGCTCAAGCCCTCCTCCCTCCTAGCCATGGGGAATGGCATGAACAAGGTAATGTCAATGTTAGCACAGAGTAAATAAATAACCGATTACTCTTCTATGCAATCAAGCATCCTAATACTCTATGCACGAATGTCATGTAAATTGTTTGCAGTTTTAGTTCAATCTTGTGAAATGAAATGCACCTTATTGAAGGTTGATTTTATTTAAATATAGTTAAGTGCTCTTAAAATAACCAGAAAACAGTATTGATCAGAAAGACAGTGATTAATTGTTCAAAACTGGAAGGTTGTCCTTTATTGTTAGAGTGTTATACATGGTAATTGGTATACCAATATCATAAGGAAATTCAAATAAAAACAATTTTGGGTAAAAAAATAAAATATAACAACAATAATTATAAAACTGTTGAATATACTTCTCCTAATACACTGTAATCCCGTGCTGAGTAAAACAGGATGTCTTACAGCCAGTAATCAAGCTACACAAGGCATTTTATTTTACACACACGTTTAGATAAAATATACACCGAGATGTGCATCACCAGCTACAATAGTAAAGATAACAATACGCCTGAGACAAAGTTTAAAACTCGTATAACGTGCCTGCCTGTCAAGTAGGCCGTTAAAAATAAATAAAATATTTCATACAGATTTTTTCCCATAAAACACTTTACTAGGTTCGTTAAGACTTTTCAACCATTCGTGTGCTTTGTATTTGAAATAGTTTAAAATATCTCTTTGTAGAGTTATAGTTTTGATACCAATTAAAAACAAAAGCAATTAAGAAATGTTAAGACTATTTGTGTTACACTGAAAATACTTGATAGGCTAGTTTAACTTGCAGCACATGTAAAATATGCCTTAAATTTGTTTAAATGATCGAGAGGCCTTTCCATCATAAAATCAATTAAAGTGATAAATTCTTGGTTTATAGGCCTATACATTTTCAGAAAATATTTTCTAACCAATTAAGGATTTTACGATTTGTTCCTTAGCAGACAGGTTTAAATATTAACTACTAAATGTACAAATTATTGTTTCGTGTTATGCCAGTTTCAAGAAATTATTTTCTTGAAGGAATATTCACCAACACAATAGGTAGATAGATTTTAAAATAAATATTGGTCAATTATTTAATTGTCATTGTCGTACACCAATTATTTATGTAATGTGACAATACATTCAGATGATTTAAAAAAATGCAAACAATAAAAAAATCAATAAATATATTAATAGATAGATACTATACATACATTGTTCAATACATACTATAAAATACATTGTATACTAAACAACAATAGCAACATTAATAGTGCAGTTAGTTATAATAAATATAAAGGATAATACAAGAAAATTGAAACACAAAAACTAAATTCATTAAGTTACATTTGAACACAAAATAAAGGAAAAGAATAATAAAGTCTTGAACAAGACACGATAAAAAAGAACAGTGGATGAGTCGTCTCGCCTTATCTTTAAACTATATTTTTATAACACTTTTTATACACGTTATTTTCTTACGTAGCAAGAAAATTAGATTTTTAAATTATACATCAGAAAGTCATAAGTCAGCAAGATTTATTGTACAATTTGAATTGTGCGTTTAAAAATAGCTTACATGAGAGTTTAAGTGAAATACACTTACATAATACTCACATTTAACTAATAAAATAATTATCCCCAAGTTTTTTATTTATCTATTATTACCTGTTTGAGATGTTCCAAAACTCGTACACATGATATAGCACTAAGTTGGGATCACGGACATGATCAAGTTTACTATAAAGAACACATATATTAAATTAAAGACACACATAACATAAAGGGCATAATAAATCGTTATACAGTTAGGAGAGCATTTCGTAGTTAATCATTAGCACAAAGAATGATGATGTATTCGTTGATGTATTCTGTCGTGGACAATATTTAATATCTAACCCCTTCCTCCTTTCAACCCCTTTTAACCCTCTTCGAGGACCTTAAGGATGACATAAAGGTCACAGGGTCAGGCCACAACTGTTCACCAATAAATATTGGAAAATAATTCGGGATAATTTATTTTTGAAGATTATAAAAGACTTGTTCTGAATATGTTGGCTGTGTATAACTGAACCTAACCAAGAAATATATTTGCCTAAAATTTTTGTTTGAAATATATTTTGCGTATCACGAAACGGGGAATTGTCATCATACGTCATTTTTACATTGTTAAATATATTATTGTTGTAAACTAACATTACTTTTAGGTTACATCAAAATATCCCAGATTTATAACAATGATAAAATGTAACATTTATAATTTTGAGTATAATATCATCGCGATAAATTTAATAATCTAAGTTTTACAAATATAGTTTTTGCGCGCGCTTGTGTGTGTGGTAGTAGTAAGTTTGAGAAACGTAAAGAAAGAACAAACCCAATGTGAAAATTTTACGTTTTCTTATCGCTATCAAGAGTACAAGGTACAATATTATTAAATAGTCTTTACCCAAATCCAACCTTAACCTTATGAATTTTTGGAGCAATCTCTAAATCATAATATAAAAAAAAAACATGTAGTTAAACTGGGTATGTACAACGTACATTACTCTTTTGAGATATTTATATTTATCTGGTCGAATGTATTTTGCCTGAAGTGAGAACAAAATGACAGACACAATATTTTTATAATAGTAATATTATAAGGTGAAAAAATAATAACACACAAACGGAAACCGTTACTCGAAAGCAATGGAAAAGACCATCAAGGGACCTAAATATTTTACCATCCTGCTCTGAAAAACACGTGTAAAAAAGAAATAAAACACTTTGGTTCATTCCATTTATAGGGATAAAAGTGCAAATGCCCAATATTCGAGTGCAGATTAAAGTTATTTGATCTTTTTGAACATGGTCCTTAATGACTACTTAAAATAAGCTGTGTAGTTAGACTTGATAATGAGAGGGCCAAAGTTGTTGAAAAGCTAATACATCTGTGGAAACTAACCGTTCTGATAACATTGGCGCTTTCATTTCCCCTGGGTTTTAATATCCCCGCAAACTTTGCTACACTGAAAGTTAATTTGGTTTCCTGTTTTTGCCCACACGAGAAAATGTTTTTGCTAACTCGTCAGATTATAAATTATTGAAAATTCTGCCATGCAGTAGCTTCCTAATTGCTATTTTCCGTTAAAAATAATTAATATATTACATTTATTAGTAGCCTAACGTATTTAATAATCGAAAGTTTTGTTTTAAGCATTATCATTGTAAACCGATGAAGATTCAGTAAGACAAGCATACGTGGTGTTCAAAAAAGGTGAGGAATAATTTACGTAGTGATTCCATGGGTAAAATAAAGAGAAAATCATGAATAACATTTTTTTTCAAATTGCTTCGTTAACCAGATATCCACCGTTTTGTATTTTTTACATAAACATTTTTATCTTTAAAAAAATGTAACCGATCTTTATGAAACTTGGTGTATCTGTTGGGGTAAAAGAGACCCATGTTAGAAAAAAATCATCTTAATTCAACTTTAAAAAGGCGGCTATTTGAAATTTTGAAAACTTAAATTACTAAAAAATGGCTGATTTATGAAAAAATTTCAAGAGAACTAAAATGGCTGATTTATGAAAAAATTTCAAGAGTACTTTTATTTAGAAATTTAAATTTCCTATCAACCGAAACCAAGTTAAAAAATATCGAATAAGAAATAGCTGAAATATTACGAGTTTTAGTTGTAAAATGGGGCAAACCTGACTAGCTTAACCTTATTCTACCCCATCTAGAGATACAACTGAAGGTAGCACTGAATTAGAGGATTAGGATACGTTGGCCGCCATATGTACAAGGGGTACCAGGGGTAAAGTACATTGTAGACATTGTACTTAGCACATTGGAAGTAGGGGGTGGATAGGAGATTGAGGGGATTGTAATTTACGAGCTGGTTGATTCACCTACTTGATACCAACATACCACGTAACATACAAAACTTTACATCGTGTCGATTTTCTAGTTGAGTTACGGTACCAGGGCTACATACAGTTGTATTCTAGCTCAGTGTTTGTAACATGCTATGGACAGAGCGTGAAAATATAATTGATTTATAAAAATATTCTCTCACAATTTGCTTTTAATGACAATTAAAAATCAATGGCACAAAAAATTGACTAAGTAAAATTATCACTTAGTCCAACTAGTGATTTAGTTTGAATATTATTTAATTCACCATTGAGTTTTCATCGCCTTTTAAGCATTTGCTAGTTATTTAACAGTTTGGTATCTCACCTAACCGAGGTTAACCTCTAACCTAGCCATATGTTTTGGATATATAATGGATAAAGCTAAAAATAATGGACATATTCGTAACTATTTGATTGCGTTACAATTCATTATAACCTAACTTTCGCATTTTCAACCGCTATTTGTATAATCTCGTAGAATTAAGCGGGTGATTTGATACTTCATTAGTTGGGTCAGCTGGAGCTTCAACAACCAATGATGCGATCACGACTGCCAACAGCTGATAATTAAGTCATTTGTCTCTCGTGCTCTCCGTCCCTACAAAACAACCCCCAACCCCCCTAGAGTTTAATTTACACTGTCCAACAACAACGTAAACAAATAGATAAACATACTGGTTAGTCTATGGTAAAACTTCCACATGTTTGTACCGAAAGTAAATTGAAATTTGGTAGATTTTAGCTTTACGATTGTTTAAAGGTAATGTTTCAACTTTAAATGACATTATGAAAATAATTTGACAAAGTCATTGGAGGTGGCCAATAATAGTATCCAGAAGTCAAATATGTGTCAATAATTGAAGATTGTATCCGAGAGTCTTCCTCATAGATGAACTAATATTATATACTATACTCTTATATGAGCAATGTTTGCTTGTATTCTTGCTTGCTTGCACAAAGATCTCTAAACCGACTGCAACGATTTCCTTCAAAGTTTGTATATCATTTATATCTGGCCTATAAACGTATTTACTGCAGTTAAAGTTGCCAAAAAAATCTAATTACGTAAAAAATGAAATTGAAAGTCAACATTTAAAAAAATGTT